AAGAACACAAGTGTAATTTGCTACAATTTGATGAACTTGACCTATACTTATCAATATAGTAGCTAGCTTAAACTACCAACCAAGGGAAAGAATCTTTACAGCATGGATCATTCTCATCCCCTCTGTACACAGTATTGATAGGGATCCAGGGCAACTTAGACATTGGCTACCTAAAATTGGGAGGGGGGTGGCTATAAAGGCACGAGGTGACTGGCTTATAAGGTTTCAAGAGGGAGTTTAGTTTCAGAGGGTGTGGGGGAAGGTAGATTCTCCACTGAGTGGTTTTTAACATGTCTAGACGGGGTTGGTGACAGGAGATGGGGATAAGACTCTTATAGTTCAATAGTGAATGTTATCACGACTGCTTGCAATTGTTGCAACTGTAAAGGTAGACTTTTGTAGAAAAGAGAGGAGTGCTTGAGCTTGCAGTCCAGGAGCAGAGGTCCCTGGGACCATAAAGTGAGAAGAGCACTTTATGTGTGTAACCCTATTCAGAGAAGCAGCTACGCCAGAGATGGAGGCAGAGATGATGACGTGAAGAGATGGAGTGCCTGGGGACTTTAGACTCATGGAGGTAGTCTATGTGCTCAGCTATGTGCTGGTGGCTGGGGGACAGGCTTACAGGGTGCTTGAATAATTGTATATTTCTGAGTGTTATGGTGTATGCCCCTACCCCCACCCCCCCAAAATAAATAAATAAAAGAGGGAATAGAAGCAAATAGGGTTGAATGATGATGTGTGGAAGGGATTGTAATCATTGCAATGAAATGAAATAGGATAGGATGAGTGTAAAGCTGATGTTCTCCCATGTAAACTATCATTCAATTCACAGTAAAGACTTGAAAACACACACACACAAAAAAAAAAGATTGTTGTTAAGTGCTGTTGAGTCAGTTCCAAGTCAATGATACCCTGTTTCTGAGCTGGTAAGTTTGAATGACCGACCTTGTGGTTCAAACCAGCATTGCGATCAAGTGCTTATCCTATAGCAGCAGTCTAGGACACCAAAATGAGATTAGGAAGATGTTAAGAATTATGAAATTAAAGACAGGGTGATTATTTTGGAAAGACATGGGCATTCCCTAAATGGGAATGGACGTCAGAGAAGTTTTATTAAATAGTTTCAACAAAACTTGATGACAGATTCAATGTAAGTTAAGGTGATGGTAGAGGTTGATGATGATTTCCAGATTTCTATAGTAAGCAATATTGGTGTGGAGCTGTAGGGTAAGAACCTGACAATATGGTCTATTTGAAACACAAGGTCTGCAGTTCAAATCACCATTTGCTCCTCAGAAACCCTATACAGAGTTGCTATGACTTGGGACAGACTTTATGACACTTAACAACAATATATTGAGCAATTAGATAAATTGTTTACAAGCATAAGATGTAAGAGGCGGCAAATTCCAAGACAAATCCTCGGAAACCCTGTACAGGGTCGCTATGGGTCGGAACCGACTCGAAGGCACTTAACAACAACAACAACAACCTATTTTTTAAATAAAGTTTTATTGGAGCACAGCCATACTTATTCTTTCAGATATTTTCTATGACTTCTTTTGTGCAGAGAGTAGTTAAGGCAGTGATTGGAAAACCGAGAAGGACTTAAATATTTATTATTAACCCTGTACAGGAAGTTTGTGGGCCTCTGTATTAGAATTCAGAAGCTTCTGGAACAGGAGCAACCGCTATAGAACCTTCCTCCACTAGGCGGCGCCAGAGGTTACTAACAGTATGGGGCTGTTTCCTGTTCTGAAACATTCTCTGGCCAGAAGGCGGGTCCTCCTAGGCACGGCGTGAGACAAACCATTATGACAAGGGTATCATTTTTACTTGATTCCAAGAGCTTTATTTTCTTGATTCTAAGTCTTTTCCTGATCACTTGTTTCTTCCTGACTTCTATTGCTTCCCCACCAGCAGCTGCTTTCCTTATATCCTAGGTAGGGTAAAGTGTCTTCCTCATGTACATTCCCCATCCACCCCTGCAGTCTCTAGAAGTTGGAACAGTCCTCCGGTGGGCGTACTTACGGAGGACTGGCCCAAGTCTTCGTTTCAGTAGAAGCGCCTGGAAGGAGAGAAGTGGTGTCGTCTCTGTGGGTGTGGTAGGCGGGCGTGGTTGGCGTGTCCCTACTCTGTCAGATAGAGAGGCGAGGCCTGAGGAAGGTGCCCTAGGGCTAGATAAGTGGGTCAGGGGGACATTTAGAAGGTCGGAGGGGGAGGGAGAGAAAAAAAAAGACAGAAAAAACACAACTCCTTGATCCCTCTTTGTAGGACCAACGATTCCAAACCGCTAAGGCCTTTCACTCTCATGGCCTTGAATCCAGAAGACCGCTATGGTGGGTTCCATCATGCTGAGGTGGTGGCCTTCATTAACAAGAAGATACGTGGGCACGTGAAAGGCCCCGAATTCTACCTCGAGAATATGTCTCTGCCCTGGGAGGAAGTGGAGGATAAGCTCAGGGCCACTCTAGAAGACAGCGAGGTGCCTAGTGATGCCAAGGAGGCGTGCGCCTGGGGCAGCCTGGCCCTGGGTGTGCGCTCTGCTTGTAAGCAGAGTCAGTTACAGAGGCGCAAAATACAGTGGTTGCACGACCTCTCCAAGCTGCATAAGTCGGCATCCCAGACGCTGGCTACAAACCTGAAGGAACTCACTGCGCAACAGGAACTGGAACGTAAGGAGGCAGCCTTGCAGCAACAGATGCTCCAGACTTCGCTGGCAGAGGTGCAGAAGGAGCGGGACCAGCTGAAGCGGAAGCTTCTCATGACTGTAAGAGCTGTTTCTAGTCCTTCCACAACCTCTACTCAACAGGCCTCTCCACAAACCCTTCCCTCCCCTAACCTACAAGGCCCTCCCCATAGCCCAAAAGCCCATCCCTTTCTGCTCCCTAACTCCACACCTTAGCAGTGTTCCTTGGCTCCTCCTCTACCCCAAGAACTTGTCTTGACTCTTTACCCTTCTCTTTAGGAGCTGTGGCAACCTCTGGAGTCAACCACACTGTGGCCAAGCCTGGATACTGTCCGTGACCCTGGGAAGGAAGAAGTAGAAGAGGAACAGGAGGAAGTTGAAAGAATGTGGCCATGCATAGCCACAGTCAGTGGGGATGGGACCAAAGGAGTAGGCAAGGAGGAAGAGAAGTTGGTGGACTGGGTGTTGTCATGTGTAGGTGGGGCTGGAACAGAAGGTGAAGGTGAGGAGGAAGTAGAAGTGGTGGACAGAGTGTGGCCATGCATGACCAGTGCCAGTGGGGTTGGGACAGAAGGAGAAGGCAAGGAGGAAGCAGTGGACAGGTTGTGGACACGGGTGGCCAGTGCCAGTGGGGTTGGGACAGAAGGAAAAGGAAAGGAGCAAGAGGAGGTAGCAGATACAATGTGGCCAGGCTTGACTAGTACCAGTGGGGCTGTGATAGGAGAAGCCAAGGAGGAAAAGGAGGTGGTGATCACAATGTGGTTAAGTTTAAGCACTGCCAATGGAGCTGGGATAGAAGGAGAAAGCAAGGAGGAAGAGAAGTTGGTGGACACAGTATGGCCATGCCTGGCTATTTCTGGTGGGGCTTGGATAGGAGGAAAAGGTGAGCAGAAAGAGGAGCTGGCAGACTCACTGTGGCCTTGCGTTACAACTGCCAGTGGAGGTGAGACAGAAGAAGGCAAAGGAGTAGAGGTGGTGGACACAGTATGGTCAAGCTTGACCACTTTTAGTGGGGCTGGGGCAGAAGGAAATGGTGAGGGGAAAGAGGAGGTTGTGGGCACAGTGTGGTCAAGTTTAACCACTGTTGGTGGGGCTGGGATAGAAGGTGAAGGCAAGGAAGAAGAGGAGGTGGTGGCTCCTGCTGCTACCATTGCTGCTGCTAATGACACAGGAGGAGAAGAGGAGATGGGTGCAGCAAGTGCTGTCACCTCCCTTGTTACCAAGGTATCACAAGAGGCAGGAGGAACATTCTTACAGCTTTCTGGAGCTATGGAGCAGAAAAAAATCACCTCTGGAAGGCAAAGGGAGGAGCTCGGGTCATTGGAAACAGCCAGGTTTTATTTCCCTGGAGCAGTGAAGTCAGAGCCCACAATTCCGCAGGTATCCCTTCCTGTCCAAGTCCCTGACTCATATTCATACTCTTGCCCTTTCTCTCCATTCCCAGACCCACCCACATGGACACTATCCACACCAGCAATAGCTCTACCTCAGATGCCTCCCCACTGGGAGGTCTCTGATAGCCTTTGGTCTGATGTAAAGAACCAGGGAGTAGAACCGCAGCAACCCCCAAAAGACAGGCAAGACTCCAGACCTCATTTTCGGAGAAGGCCTCCAGTAGTGCGCAGGCCAGGCGATTGGCAATGCCTCTGGTGTAAAACTTTGAATTTTGCATGGCGGGAAATTTGCTTCCACTGTGGGAGGAGAATCTGGCTACAAAAGTTTTAGTGAATGCAGAAATGTGAACTAGAAGTGAAACAGATCTTAATGGGGAGCCAGTTTTCAGAGGGAAAGGGGAATGGGAGTGAAGGTGATGGAAGGGAAATGAAGAAGTGGGGAGTAGGGGTGGGGGCAATGGGGCCAGGGAGGATTTAGATACAGAGATTGGGTGGAGATAGAGAAACAGAGTTGTGTTTTGATGACCCCTTTTATGTTCCATAACATTAGCATTCAGCACTCCAGAACTAGTACAGCTTCGATTTGTGTATGTTTTTTCCCCAACATCCTAATGTCTGGTGGACCAAGGCAACCAGGTTTATAACCTGCCTCCACATATAGACCTTAGATGATTGTACCAGCAGTGGACATTTGACCCATCCTGAGCCAGATTTCTCTCGGTAGTAAAAACAGAATGACAGTACTGTTGAGAAAGGGTTTTTAGCAATATAGGAGAGAGAGATGTGAGCCATAGAGTAACAGATAGCTGAAGAAACTTAAAATGCAAGAACTATATAAAACAATGATGTGCATCCTTTTTACTGTATTGGTAACATATCCACTATGTTGTACAATGAAAAAAAAAACAAAAAAAGACAGAATCTTTCTTGTTTTGCAAAACACATTTCCAGACTTTCTGTAAGTGTGTACGTGTATGTTGTTGATGTTATGTGCCGTGGAGTTGGTTCCAACTCATAGAGATCCTGTTCAGGGTTTCCGAAGCTATAAATGCTTACAGGAGCAGAAAGCCTCATCTTTTTCCCACAGAACATCTGTGTACATGTATATTATGCATAAATATTGATTATGTTTGCCTTATAGGGTTTTGTTTGAGTAACTGTAGAAAAGTGTCTGGGAAAACTTGTTCCAAAAAAGATACTACTAAGGGGGGGCGGTGGGGGGATCAGGGTCAGGGATGGGAGGTAGTGGAATACAGGGTAATAGTGGGTAAAGGGGCTCATAGGGGGCTTTTATGTTTATATATCATTCTGTGTTATGCAACATGAAACAATTAAATGTTTACAAAAAAAATTTTACTTAAATGAAAATGATTTTGTTTGTTTGGATGAGTTTGGAAGGCTGAGTTTTTCTTTGAGACAGGAAGGGAGAAGGGGAGGAGACACTGATCTGTGGCAGGGGTGGAAAACCAAAAGGGACTCTTGCCTGTGTCTGTATAATGTACACAGATAAGGCACCTGAGAGAATGAGAACTAAGAAAAGGAGGTTGGGATAGGGACTGTTGTTCAATGGAACATTTAGGAAGAACTGTGGTGTTGGGGTTGGGAGAAAAAGACAATCATGCTGCAGGGAGGACCCGTGTTGATAGGAACACTTGCTAAGTGTCATCAAATTGGTTCCAACTCATAGCAACCCTGTATAGGGTTTCCAAGGAGCAGCTAGTAGGTTTGAATCACTGACCTTGTAGTTCAAACCAACCTTGTAGTCCAGTGCTTTATCCTACATACAGTGCCGTGATAGAAAGGAATAGGAGAGACACCAAGTACAAATCTCTTCAGATCAGAACTTGTTTTCATGGCTTCATTTTTTTCTCATAAAAAGATTCAGTTTGTTTAGATTTGGGTTTATGTTTGGTTGTGCTTGCTAGTTGCTGTCAAATAGATTCCAACTCATTGCAGATCCATATTTGATAGTATTAAAGAGAGATTAACAATCTCATGGTTTCATGTGTCATGACCATTTTTAAAATTCACTCCTGTGTAAGGACAGAAGAAAGGATTGAATAAGCTAAAATTAATTCCCCTTCTAAATATCAATGAATATTCTCAGCAAATCTAAGTGATCTGAATTGGTCTTTCAGTCCTTGAGCTTCGTGAGATGAGCAGCAAAGGAGGAAGACAGCTTTAAAAACTGTCACTGGAAGAAGATACAACTCAATGGGTGTGAAGGAAAGGGGATGGAAATTCCATGAGGGCCTTGGTCAAAATCAGTTCTTGTTACCTCTAGAAAAGATGAAGTGGTCTCTTTTGGTTTGCCATTTGGGATAACAAGAAGCAAAGTGGTGAGGGAATGAACAGGAAAGCTTCCTCTGTTGACCTCCCTCTTTCTGGTAACCCATCCACATGCTAAAGAGTCAAACTTGGCTACACGTTTCTCAAATAATGGGAAGTAAAAATAAACGATGATTTGTTTAGAAACACCAATACTTTCTCATGTTTGTGCCATGTCATATGGGATCAAATTTAAAAATTTGCTAGGGTGTTTGTGCACAGCCATTACCTGATAGAAAGCTTTCTGAGATATTTTAAAAATCAGAATTTTCTGTGACTTTGCACTCTCCTGTAAAATACTATCACCTCCAGCATCATTTTTTATACTGTCACCTCATACTAGCTGCCTTTATGCCACCTGTTTCTGTTTCTATTTGATGTTGTTGGTAAGTGCCATCAAATATGACTTAGCATATTAGAAAAGACAAGGGCTCATTTGACCAAATGAAAGACTTGTAAACCGTAGTGACTTAAAGGTTTCAGCCAATAAGTCAACACCAACATGTATGACAAGTCTGGTGTTTGTTATGTGTGGGAGGGGTGGTTCAATTTACGCCTTAACTGTACCACCTTACCTGTTCTATGTGTTGTATTAAGTGTGTGAAGGACTTACACTTGTGTGGAACTAACCCCTCACACATTTATGTTGTTAAGTTAAGTGCCATCGAGTCAGTTCTGACCCATACATAGGGTTTTCAAGAGTGACTGGTGAGCTCGAACCATTGACCTTGAGGTTCAAACCGATCTTGCATCCCAATGCATTCACCCACAGCACCACATCAGGACTCCAAGTGTCATCGAGTCATTCCTACTCAGAGCAACCCTGTATAGGGTTTGCGGGGAGCAGCTGGTGAGCTTGAACCAAGGATATTTAAATGAATTTGTAGTCTAGCTCATTAACTTATAGCACCACACCAGGACTCCACATGTGTACATATACAATTTTAAAAGGAGAGAGAGATTGCTTGTCTAAGAGTAAAAGAGAAGAATGCAAATGTGAAACTCTGCCAAAATACCTTTCAACAGTACCTTTTATGGTGTGTGGATGGAAAGTGTTACAAAATGATTAGGATACCAGGGCTGGAAAATAAAAATACACATATTATCTGAGTACTAAGATTGCCTTAATGTTGAAAGCCCTAAATGGTCTGGAAGTGAGACTGTATATATAGATTGCTGTTACCCTGATTCTTGTTTAAATGAGATCAAGACTCGGGTGGAACTACACATCACCATCCTCCTTAGCTTTTCTCTATTTCACAGCTATGGATTCAGACTACATAACAAATATTAAGCTACTATATTGCTAAGGTGGGTGACTCTTGACAGCAGTGAAGAGTGGGGATGACTCCATATGGATTCATCTCTGTCCCTGAAAAAAGAATTTGGAATACATCCTCTGATTGACGATGCTGCAATCAGCAACATCTCCTTTCTTTAATAAAAGGAGGTCATAAAAAATACTTTACACCCTTTAAACATACATTTTCTCCATGGAAACATCTGCTAAAACGGTAATGGTTACCTGACTGCAAGTGAAGGTATACATTAGCAGTGTTTTTTAGCTTCTTTTCTAAGAATTGATCAATGTCTTAAAAGTCTCATGCTCCAAATTTTTATCTGAAACCTCCACTTAAAAGGGTTAGTTTTTAAAGCTTTATATTCAGAAAAAAAAAAAAAAAAGTCTTGGTAAACGCAATCTCCAGCTAAATAGACATCCCCCTTTCCTCACCTCAACCCTCATACCTTTTACTGTTGCCTTGCCCTTGAACATTGCTTCATCTGTCTCTAGATGATGCTAGAGATAGCTTTTAAATTCTTAAGAGCTATCTCAAACACTTCCTCAAGGAAGTCTTTTCTGATCTGTAAGCCAAAAATGGTTTCACCCTACTCTCAAGTCTACAACTGCTCTATCTCTTTCTTATAACACACTTAACTTTCTCTCATGTGTGATGGATTAAAAGATATTAAGGTAGTGTTTTTAAAATTTTGTTGTTGTACTTACACCAGCAACTGGAACTCACCACCTTAGATTCCTACAACTGCATGAAATATAAGTTTCAGCTTCTGCAGGCCTGGTACCACAGCCTGAAGCTTGAATATAACAAGCTGGCTAGGGAGAAGTTGGAGATGCAACATTACTATGTGATGTCTTACAACATGAACATTAAGATGCACAAGAAGGCTGAAATCAGGAAGAGGTTGAATGGTCAATGCCCAAGTCCTACCCTACCTGTTAACAAGAGTACCAACAATAAGTCTTGGGAGCCATCGAGAGAGTTAATCAGGTCTACACTCCTGAGCTAACAAATTCATCTGATAGCAGCTACAAGCCCCACTATAGTGGGGCTACAGTTGCCTTCACTGTTGGAAGTCAGCATGGGCACTGACCTCTCAATGTCAAAGCTAGGCTTCCAGGCCCACCTCTCCAAGGAAGACAAGAACAGTCAAGACAGTAACACCCACCCAGTGGGTAGATGGAGTGGAGAGGGTGAAAGTAGGGATCAAAGAGGCAATAGAGACAGGGAGAGAAAGGAAAGTTCAGATCAATCCACAGCAGAGGTCATAATTGTCTCAACTCTGGCAGTATTTATGGCAGCTGCCTACCAGGGCCTTAGCTCTGCTCACATGCTGCTGCCTAGCTTTGCAACTATTCCCAACTCATGGTCCCCCTTCTCCTATCTTGCAGTCCCTTCACCTCCTCATACTACAGATGGTGTTAGAGTTGTCAAAGATTCCATTTTACTTGTATCCACAACCAATGCTCATGGAAGCAGCAACAGGAAATCAAAGGATGCACCCATTGCATTAAGCAAATATGCTTCAAAAGACCACTTTAAAGTGTTAAAAGTTACCCCTTGGCCACGCCATATTTTAAATCTCATATGCATGCAAAAACTAAATAAAGATCAAAGAAAAATTGATGCAAGAGCTGACAGATTGCAAGGAACAATGGTAGGTTCATTAAATTGCATTTGAAAGTGGACTAGCGTTTCCCAGAATGAAAAATTGAAAAAAAAAAAAAAAAGAAAGAAAGAAAGAAAAGAGAGAAGATAGAGGATAAGAAGGGGCAAACAGAAAAAAACTTGCAGAGGCTGCATTCCAGGGAGAGGATTTTATTTCTTTATTTTAAGTTGGAGATGAGAGTGAGGAGTGATGAGAGTGAGGAGTGATGAGAGTGAGGAGTGATGAGAGAAGCTTCTGGTCAACTGTATCATGTAAGAGATTGATAGTGAAAGTAATGTGAAAAGTCAATTTTAAGAAGTCTTGCAGAGAAGGGTTACAAATTGGCTTCACGTTGAAGTTATTCAAGGGACTACAATAAATTCTTAAATATTTAAACTTTAAAAATTATTTTTGTTTGCTGGACTACATTTCCAAACATGCAATTCTACACTGGACCACATGGGGGGCTGCTTTTTATTTGAGTTACTCTTGCTCAATTGTAATTTGCATACATGTCTTAATTCCCCCTTTTAATCTGATGTAGAAGACAGTAGCCCTGCCATTCATTTTTGTCATTTTTAGTATTTTTTACACAGTTGCTAGGTGCTGTCAAGTCAGTTCTGACTCGTAGTGACCCTGTATAGGGTATCTGAGGAGTGACTGGTGGGTTTGAACCACTGACTTGGTGGTTTGCAATCCAGTTCTTATCCTACAGTGTCACACCAGGATTACTGAATAATGGATGCCTGCGAGTGCAAATGGTATTGGCTAAAGGACATCCATTTTATTTTAAAAACAAAATAAAACTGTAGTTTAGGAATGACCTCTCATTTCTGTGACATTACGACATGTTTCCACTTTAGTGTAAAGGAAAGGAACTGGTTTCCTGCCATTAGTACTTGAAAAATATAACCATATATTTATGACATGTGATTTTATTCATTCTAATATTTTGTCATATACCAATGCATGCTGTTGTTAGGTGCCATGGAGTTGGTTCTGACTCATAACAAACCTATGTAGAATAGAATGAAATACTGCTCAGTGCTGCAGTATCCACAGAATTGTTGTTATGTTTAAGACCATTATTTCTGTACTGCGTCAATTCATTTCATTGAGGGTCTTCCTCTATTTTGCTGATACACCACTTTACCAAACATGATGTCCTTCTGCAGGGACTGACCCATCCTAATAGCATGTCCAAAGTGTGAGAGACAAAGTCTCACCATTTTCACTTCCTGAGCACCTACTATGTGTTATATGCCAGTCTAGGTCTTGTAGATATATCAGTGAGCAAAACAGACAAATGTCCCTGCCCTTTATGAGCTTATATTCTAGTATTGTTGCTGTTAAGTGCCATCAAATCAGTTCTGACTCATAATAACCCTGCATAGGGTTTCTGAGGAGCAGTGGTGAGTTTGAACTGCCGACCTTGTGGTTTAAAGTCCGGTGCTTATCCTACAGCGCTCCACCATGACTCCTAGTATGGGCAGACAGAAAATAAATAAACTATGAGGGGAGCTTTAAAAAGTTTCTGGTAAAATTCCATTAACTTTCTATTTTTCCGTGAACTTTTTGAAGCCTCTCTCACATAACTAAATAAATTGTGTATTATTGAGAGACAGGTCGGAGAGGATCCTCGGCGGAGGCGTGGAAAAACCAGAAAAAGCGTTTTTCCGAAACAGTTCAAGAGTTTTATCTAGTATATCTATATCTAGTTTTTTCTAGTATAAGGTGCAGGGCATCAGTTTCCTGGGCCCACCAGTGGAGAAATCTGACTGTAGAAGGAAAATATGGTGATTTCTGAATAGATTAGGAAGGCCTGCAGGCCCCTAGGACTGGGCCGAGATCAGAGGTCGGGGCCACAGCCAGGCTGATACAGTGATACAGAGCAGCATCTAGAAAAAGATGAGACAGATTTTACACTTTTTTTCCTCTTCTCCCCTGTTGCACCCTCACTGCCCAGCAGGAACACGTTCAGGTGGGTGGGAGCATACCCCCAAAAGCGTCCAGCATTGCTGTCACAGTTTTCCCATGGCACAGGGAAGGAGGTCCCTGGGAGCTCCAATGTTCCCACAGTATGATCCTTTGGCTGCTTATGACGTCTGGCTCTGGGACCCAGTGCTAAAGTTGACCTGGGTGGGACCCTTTATTCCTGCCTTACCAAGCAAGATAAAGAAGGTTTGGTCATACAACCAAACCATATGTGCACTTTGTAAAACCCTAACATAAAAGGTAAGAGCTAACACCAACTACAACATACAAGAATGCAGCTATTTTGAGAATTACAATGTTAATACGCAGATATCGTACTGACCTTCAGAGATAAAAATAGTGGACAATATTTCTTTCACTCATTTCAAAATATCTATTTGCACATCTCTACGGTGATGACTAGAGGAAAGACCTGTGCAAATGGATACCCCCACCCACAGCTGGCGGTTTCTCTTTGGCCTGTGCAGCAAAGGTCAGTTGGCTACATTTTTACTTTTGTTGTTTTGTTTTGTTTTTTATTTTAACAGTTTACTTCATTTATAACTTTTAAATTCTAGAAATTGTGTGTATTGGTTTCCAATTGTACTCTTGCCACTTGCTGTTATTGTTAAATACCATCAAATCAGTTCTGACCCATATCAACCCTGTATAGGCTTTCCAAGGAGCGGTTAGTGGGTTTGAATGGCCAACCTTGTGGTTCAAACTAATCTTGCAATCTAGTGCTTATCCTACAGTGCCACACCCTACAAATGTTAGATATAGGCCTGCTTACAGGGAATGGTGAGTGGGTAGACAAACTTTATCAGGATGGAGCAGACCCACCATTGAATTCCCACCTGTATACCTTTGCTTCTGCTCTTCTCACTATTACTAACTCCTATGCATCATTTTCAAGATAGTGGATTGGGTAGACATGCAGTAAGGAGCTCTGTCCGCAACAACACAGAATACTGGACCAAGCAGGCACAGGGGATGACGGTAGAACTCTGAACCACATATAAAGGAATATTTAGAAGTATGGAAGGCTTATAGCTAGGGGAATTTGTGGCAGAGTCAAGAAATCCATTGCTTTCTAATTCAAGATGCTCAGCTGCTCCTGGAGCCACCATCTTGGGAGAGACCAAGTGAGAGAAGGATCAGAACAGCCACGAACACCTGACAGAGCCACAGAGATACACATGTGGACATTCTTTTGTTTTGTTTTGTTTAGGTATCTGTTCATTGGTCTCTTACTCTCTGCGCACCTCCATTCTGGTAACTAGGTTTACTTTTGTTTTTGAGTGGTGGTTTTTGTCTCTGCTTTTATATTGTTTCTGGTTTTGGTCCTTTTGGTCTCACTTTTTCCTGGGGCTGGGAGCTTTCTATCCCTATGTTCACCAAGAAGAGATATCAATCATGGCCTTATAGCCAAGTTACAAGCATACCCCATAATATCCCACCATCTGGACAGGAGCCAATACCAGCTTCTAGGTATTACACATGAAAAGGGAAGTCTATCTCCAGATCACATCTACTAGGAGACACTCAGTAAGCTTAACAACACAACAACATACATTCATTTAATCATTGAAAAAAATGCATCTAACTATTGAAAATGTGCAAGAAAAAAACAAAGATCTCAGCATATGTCCCAAAACAGAAAAGATTAACTAAGACAAATGAGCTGGAGGCATACATAGACTTTCATTAAAAGAAGAGCAGACTTTGAATCTACCTGAGAAGGAATTCAGAAGAATTATATGGAGACCAATTCAAATACTCCACAGAGGGGTGGAGGAACACAAGGAAGAAGTCAAAAAATTGCAACAGAAGCAATCAAACAAGATAGGTATAGAATTGTAAACAATTCAAAACCTGCCAAAAGAGGTCCCGATGATTAATAATAAAATATCATGAATGGACAATACACTGAAAAGGCAAAGGAGTAGAACTGAAGTGATGAAAGCCAGAACCAGTGAGCTGCAAGACAAATATCTCAATGATACTAAGATAGAAAACAGAAAAAAAAAAAAAAGATAAAAATATCTTAAGAGAGGTTAAGATTAATGATGGATAACAAGAGGATGAATCACTTAATAATTATTGGCATTGCAGAACAAGAAGAATCACAGAAGTCCACAGAGGAAATAGTAGAGAAGATTCTGGAAGAAAATTTCCCTAACATCTTGAAGGATGAGAAGTTAAGCATTCAAGAGTCTGAAAGAACCCCAGGAAGGATAGACCTCTAAAGAAAATCACCAAGACAATTCATAATCAAGCTCTCTAAAATCAAAGACAAACAGATACTCCTAAAATCAGCCAAGGAAAAGAGAAGTGTTACCTACAAAGGCAAGCAAATCAGATTAAGCTCTGACTTCTCAGCAGAA